TATCAGGAATGAGACAGCGATGTCTGCTACCGTATCCCTACTCCTATTCAGGGTAGTACTGGAAACATTAGTAACAGCAATTAGACAAGAAAAACAAATAAAAGGGATATGTGTAGGAGAGAAGTCAAACTATTATTTACAGATGATATAATCCTTTACACAGAAGACCCTTCCCAAATCCACCAAAACATTCTTAATTAATATCCAAATTTGCAAATGTATCCAAATACAAAATCAGTATTGCTTGTGTACACTAATAATGAACCCACTGACAAAGAAATTAGGAGAAAAATGCCATTCATAATGGCATCAAAAATTTAACTCAAATAAGGAGATAGTAATTAACCCAAATAAGGAGATGAAAGATCTCTAAGATGAAACCTACAATACTCTAAAAAAGGAAATTTAAGAGGATACCAGAAATGGAAATATAGCCTTTGTTCCCAGATAGGCTGAACCAATATAGTCAAAATGGCCATACTTTGAAAATTGATATACAGATTTAATGCAAAAAAATAAATGCTGGTGAAGATGTACAGAAAAAGTGACTTACATATTTTTGGGAATATAAATTAGTTCAGTCCCTATGGAAAATAGTATGGAACATTCTCAGAAAAATAAAAATAAAGCTGCCGTGTGATCTGGTTATCAGAATCCTGGGTATATATCCAAAGAAATGAAGTCAGCACACCAAAGAGATACCCTGCTTGCCTATGTTTATTGTGGCACTAATCAAACTAATTATGACATAGAATCAGCCTAGGTGCCCATCAACAGTGGATAAAGAAGACGTGGTACACACACAAATGGAGTATTATTCAGACATACAGAAGAATGCAGTCCTATCATTTGCAGCAACATGGATAGAACTGGAGGACATTGTGTTAAGTGAAATAAACCAGAGACAGAAAGACAAGCATTACATGTGCTCCCTTATCCATGAAACAGAAAGGAAAGGAAGAAAAGAGAGGAGAGGAGATGAGGGGTGGGGAGGGGATGGAGAGGAGGGAAAGAAGGGGGAAGAGGAAAGGGAAGAGGAAGAGAAGGAACCCAAAAGTAGAGCCATTATTACTGGAAGAGAGGGGCTGCCCACTGTGAAAGTGGTCCTAAAGAGTCTGTGAGCGCAGATACAGCATGGGTGGTTTCCTCAGCACTCACTAGTGCAGCATCAAGATCATGAGGGCTGCAGAGGCAGGACAGTGCACAGGGATGCACTTGAGTTTACACATGAACGAGGGAGGAGCACAGACGCGATATTATACTGAAACGGACAGGGGAATGATGTCATGTACATGAAAAGTGACCACGGGAGGCACCTAGGATTCTACCCAAGGAAAAGGGGTTACAAAAGGGCTTCTAGTGGAGGAGACTTTAACCCAAGTCAAAGATGTACAGGATTTGCCATATAGTACAGGGAGTTAGAGTCATTCCAGGGACACACACACACACACACACACACACACACACACACACCAGCATTTCCTCAGGGATTAATTACAGACACCCATGCAAATAAGGGATAAGCAAGGCTGAAAGGAGGCTCCTGCTGCCCTTACAACCACGTTTCACCCAGAAGTTCACCAGCACCCACAGAAGAAAGGGAAAATTCCCTATGGCTGTATCACCCCAGGGATGCTCCGTCTGCCTGGGATGCTACCTGACTTATTTCAACTGTTCCTCAAAAAATGTGTCAAGATGCAACACAAATTCAGTGCAACTCTGTGCAATTTCAAAGCCACCAGGGGACAATTTTATGATGTTCTCTAAAGTGTTCACAATGATGTGGGACCAAGGGTGACATGGAGATTCTGAGGGGGAGAAACATAAACATGGATTGTGTCATCTCCTTCACCTGGAGATAGCAGCAGGTAGGCAGACAAGTGCATTCGGCAGTCACTTTGCAGGAGGGACAGAGGTCTAGGGTGGAAACACATGGCAGTGCCACCCCCCTCTCACCAAGGAAGGACGACAGGCGATGTGAGCACTCTGTGTTCTTAAAACTGGCTAGGGCTGAAATTTTCTGTTTTGTGAAAACTTTGACTTCGTCATAACTATTGATGGTTAAAATTCAGATAATTATGATATTATTTGAAGTTATAGTGATATTGTATCACTTTTTATCAGTGTTGGACATTGGGGAAAAGCTCAAAAGTATATCCTTTAAAAATTTTTGTTTTCGTAGTACACATTTGGAGTACATAATGATTGTATTCATTGCCAATGACAATCTTGTGTGCCAACACATCACAAAATCTGAAATTGCTACCGGGAGTCTTCTGGTGACCATGATCAGATGGTCTATGACATAAGATTATGAGAACTAATGATTGAAAGATTCCAAGGTTAATTTTCAATGACACACTTTTCCATATCAGAGGAGAAAATCAGACTGATAATTTCATCCTCAAGTGTCCCATGATAATTGATCTGGTTGGTTCACTTCTTAATAAAATAGATTATTCTGAGTGAGGTTAAATAAACAGGACCAAACAAAGGAATAAGTAAATCCAGCCTATGAAGTACTTGTTAAAATGTTCTCCCTTGGACTGGGGACAATTGTGTAGGGACAACAAAACTGGATGTCACATTCTGTAGCAGAATGAGTGACAACAATTTGCTAAATTCACACAAGAGCAAGTAGAGCACATGCTGAAATTTCCCAACAAAAAAGATGATAAATGTGTGAGATGAATGATATACTAATTACCCTCATCTGATCATTATACATTCTACAGTTGAATTAAAATATGATACTGTAACCCATAGCTCCATACAATTACTATTTGTCAATGAAAATACAAATGCATTTTCAAAAAGTATGCTTTGCATTTGCACTGAGTTGGAGCCTTCATATTACCCAAACTCATGATATTGTTAGATACCATGGAAGCCAATCAAGTCCCAGGCTGAAAACATCTGTCCTTGGAATAATATTTCAAGACACCATGAGGTCTTTGTTTATGAAGGACAATCACCACAGTAGTAAAATTATATCCTTATATTGGTTACTACTATTCTTAAATGACTCACAGAAAGGAAAATCCACTTCAGGAACAGAGTATTCAAATCCACTTCCCATCCCGTCCTCTTCTTTCACCCCATCCTTGACTGTTTTGCACTCCACAACTTCCTCATGGCAATTTTCACCTCTGCATTTCTGAGTGTGTAGATGATGGGGTTCAGCATGGGGGTGATGACTGTGTAGAACACAGCCACCAGCTTGTCCTCAGTGAAGGTAGAGGAGGGACGCATGTAGAGGAAAATGGCAGGCCCAA